GGGCGGCTCGGCGGCTCCCCCCCGCTCAGCTCCCGACCTTCCCGCCACGCGTTGGGACCCAGCCGTGGGGGCGTTTCCATGAGCCTTCGCGGCTGCCTCTTCGCTCTCGGTTATGCTCCGTGCTCCCTGGAGTTCTCGCCTCCGTAGTTCTGAGCTCCTCCCGGTGTTCCCCTCAGCATTGCTGTGGGGCTCCCTCCACCACCAGTTACCTTCAGAAACTCGGTGGAGCCCCCGTGATTCCCCAGCACCCGGGGCTCATGTGCTCTCGGGATCGCTGAGAACTCAGAACCCATCAGCAGTTCCCGTGATTACCCACCGCCTCGGGAACATCCCCTGCGACTCCCGTGATGCTTCAGGGCCCCTTAACATCCACGTGAGGCTCCCGTGGTTCCTCAGGGTCCCTAGCAATCCTCCTGGGGCTCCTCTGGATAAGTAGGTGCCTCGAATTTCTTGTCATCTCCCCGCCCGCTCAGAATGCCCTGTTGGGGCCTTGTGATCCGCCGGGTTCTCCAGCACCGAAGGAGAGGGCAGGAGTCCAGAGGGATGGTCCAACTAATAGGTGCCCAGCCTGGCGCGGGATGCGCGGGATGCGCCGGTGGAGAGGAGGGGTGGAGGAGAGCTGCTCAAATTCAAATGAATGAATGAATGAATGAATGAATGAGTAAAGTTAAATAAAATCTTTTTAAAAAAGGAAATGGAGTGAGACTCAGGAAAGTCCGGGACCAAGTCCAGAGAATTCCTGCGCTGGCAGGGTGGTTAGAGATGGAATGTCCTGAAATAGCAGTAAGTGACAATAGCTCACATTTACTAGATGCTTTCTATGTGTCAGCCTCACTGAACCCCCAGAACACCCATGAGAGGGGATTGTCATTATTTTAGTGATAGCACGCTGAGGCTGGAAGAGGCCGTGGCCCACAGACGCTAACAACCCAAGAGAAGTGAGGCTGAGACGGTACAGCAGTGGCCTCGCTCTCCACGGCTGACCGACGGGGGGCCTCGATTCGAGTCCAGGCACCTCCACGAACAAACTAGGTGCACGCATGTCTGTGATCCAGGGCTGCCGAGGCTGGGGGTATAACATGCTGTCAAGGCTTCGGGACCAGCAGTTAGCGTCACTGGACTCCCATGTCGTCGACCACGGCTTGAGTCCTGGACCCGGTGGCTTAAACGCACACCGACCACATGTGCATGCCCAAGATCCAGAGAGGAGAATGGAGAAGGGATTGCCGTGTGGCCATTCCCCCCTGGGGGGGGGGTGATTTCTAACTTTCTGTCTCTCTGTCTCTGTCTTTCTGGCAAGTGCATTCTCTGTAAAGCAAAAACCTCTCCAAGAAAAAGAAAGAAAAAAGACTTTGTTGGGGGTACTGTCTCTCTGTCTCTCTTGCTCCTGTAAGAAACCTAAGGAAACAAGAAAAAGAAATGAGGCCAGTAGGTGGCATGATAGGTAAGGAGCTAGACTCACATGTGCTCTGACTGCAGTTCTAGTCCCGGACCAGACTGCTTGAAAATCACACTGGACGCGTGCTTGTGTGCCGAAAAGGAGAATGGAGAAGGGATTGTGGCACGGGCATCCCCCTTGGGGTGATTTCTCACTTTCCCTCCCTCTCTTTCTCTCTGGTAAGCAGATGTACCCACCCCACGACAAAAACCTAAAAACAACCAAAAAAATGAGGCTGAGATTTTTCTGTTTTGGTTTTGCTGTAGGGCACGTGCATTTGCCAGAGAAAGTGAGAGATTACCCCCCGGGGGAGTCCACACTGCCTTACCTCTGGATTTCCCTCTCAGAATTTTGGGCGTGCACGCACATGCACCTGGCATATTTAACAAAGCCACTGGGCGAGACTCGAACTGCATAGTTGGCCATGTGGGAGCCTGCCACCCTAACTGCCACATCACCCGGTTGGGCCGAGACCGAGGTGCGAACTTGAGTCTTTGGGTTCTGGATCCCTGGTAACACTCCCACCAGTGACGGTCTCAACCTTCCAACCAGTGAGCCAGACTCAACCAACAAACATGTTTTCTTTGGCCTGAACTTTATTTTTGAAAGTATGAGTTACTGGAAAATCAATTCCATGTAAACATCCTAAATTACCCTCTTTTGAACATAGAATTTCCCAAAAGCTGGCAGAGTTTGGCTCGAATTCCTTGACGGGACTCATCTGGAATCAACAGCAGCTGCCTTTTCAGACTCGTGAGCTCTTCACCAAGCCAGGCCCTCTCCTGACACTTACGTGGCTGGCCAGTGGCCTGGGGATGTGCTTGGGAGACTATTTGGGGGGGGCGGGGGAGACTTCTCCACTTCCACAAAATAATATTTGTTATGAACGCCCATTTACCCATCACTCTGCTTCAGCAGTCGGCGGTTCCCTTCTGTTTTTTTATTCGGAATAATGTAAATGAATCCCAGCTGTCATGTCATTTCCCCGTAAATGTCTGAGGCCGTATTTCTAACAGATAAGGATGCGTGTTGTTACATAACCGCTGGGCCTTTTGCAGGGAGCGCCTTACAGTAGACACAGTCTTTGCACTAACGGGAAAGCTCTAAGCAAGACACCATCTCCCGCTGGGCGGTACAGATAGAAGACGGCGAGTGTTAGACAGAGAAGGCCGGGAGAGGCTTGCCTAGGTGCTCCACGCCGCAGGCAGTATAGAAAGCGCGGCAGCTGCACCTCCCCTAGGAAGGAATAAACACGAACGCCTCCGGACGTAGCATCCCCATTGGAGAACTCCGTCTGCCAGACCCCTGCTTTTCTGTCTAGCCTTTCTCGATCTACAGCCTTTCCCCTCGGGGTACCCCATCTCTGCCACCAGACTGCTGCCATTTTATCACATTTAATATTAACAACCTTTTTATAAGAATTATTTTTACTTAGGGACCAGCAGTTAGCATAATGGCTTTGTCGCTGGACTCCCACGTAGTCCACCACGGTTTGAGTCCCGGACCCAGTGGCTTAAAACTCACACCGGGCACGTGTGCGTGCGTGCCCAAGATCCCGAAGGAGAATGGAGGAGAATGGATTGCGGCGTGACCATCCCCTGTAGGGGGTGATTTCTTGCTTTCTGTCTCTCTGTCTCTGGCGAGCGCACGCGACTTATAGCAAAAACCTCTCCAAAAAAATATATTTTTATTTAACCTTATTTATTATTTTAA